AGGAGGATCCACGGCGCACTCTGCTGGAGACGGATGGTACCGCTCCAGATCCCAACAGCTAAGGTTTCACCTCAAATGAGTTGTGCAGAAACAAGTATCTATACATTTCAAGAAAGTGGTTTAGTGTTGTAAAAATAAACATGGGCCAAACGTCCACCATATGAGATTGTGGAATTCAGGGTAAAGATGATTATCGATGATTACTTATAAACAAGCTTTATGGACTAATAATTTACCAATTTTTCAGATCAATATAAATAATATTTTTGTTAAAAATATATTAACAGTATTGAAAGTCATAAACAATATTTAAACTGGATGTCCTCAATGGAAAAGGGCTGAATAAACAAGGTTCACAGCAGCATCACTTGCAACTGATGAGATTAAATGTCATAAGCTGCTTATGTTGAGAATAGTAACGATAAGAAGTGGAGCAGTCAGAGCGGTACAGACAGGGCGTAAAGGCTGGAAAAGCAGAAGCTGGTTTTATACTGCTCCAGAAGCTTTTTGCTCCCATCTTTGAGGTTTATTCATCTCATTTCAAACTTCAAATAAGTAAGTCTTTAAATTGCCTTCATTGTCTTTTCATGTGATTTATTTATGCAAGGGGATAATAAGTATTGGTACTAAAAGCACTCTGTCCTATCAGCTGGAAAGGTAGAGTTTTTAGTGTTTAACTGACTGTTTTTAATTTATTTTCGATAAAAAAAAATCATCTTGTGTAATGAATTGCATTTGGCTAGTGGGGATGTACTGTAACTGTTTGAGAGTATAATCTATTCTGGTGGTCAATGTGGAATGTCTTATAATAAAAGGGTAATTATGACTACTTGATTCTAAACAGGTTTGAAACTTTTAGATGTAGTTTAACGATTTGAGGAATACACATATAATAGAACTTTTAGCCTAACACATAATGCATCCAATAACTCTTAAAAGATACACACACTGTTTTTTTGTGACAAAGTACCAGTGCTTGTCTTTAACATACTAATTTAGAACAGATGATAATGCAAAAGGTTTGTTTTTGCTGTGATTCATTCTACAGTTAAAGTGACTGTTGGATTTAAGAATGAGCAGAAGGGGGAGGAGACGGAGCAGCAGGAGGAGGAAAAGCTCCAGCAGCAGCAAACGTGAGTTTGGGCTGTTCTTGAAGGCATTGGGACTGTAAGCTTAATCCTGTGCTTAACTAGCTCACGTTTAGTGTCCACCTGCATTTTTTTTAATCAGCGGAACAGTCCCGTACCTGGACTTCTTTCATCTTGTAAAGAAGCAAAATATGGTGTAATGACTTGTGTAATTGACTTGTGGTGAATATCAGCACAACCTGCTCTGGAATGGGCTGGTAGTTTGTATAAAATAACTGCAGCTCCACTCATTCATTTATGTTTTTTCCTGATCTGATCCCACAATACTGTGGAAAACATGGAGGTTTCAATTCAATTCAATTCAGTTTATCTATATAGCGCCAAATTCACAACACATGTCATCTCAAGGCACTTTACAGTTCACCAGATCATACAGTCAAATTGACCAGTTGATTGCATTGACTCATTGATTCTTCAGCAATCCCTCACACTAAGCATGCTTGTGGGACAATTG